CGGTCAACAACCAAGATGGAGATGGTCAAAAACCAAGATGGAGACGGACAAAAACCAAGATGGAGACGGACAAAAACCAAGATGGCGACGGTCAACAACCAAGATGGAGATGGACAAAAACCAAGATGGAGACGGACAAAAACCAAGATGGAGATGGTCAAAAACCAAGATGGAGACGGACAAAAACCAAGATGGAGACGGACAAAAACCAAGATGGAGACGGTCAAAAACCAAGATGGAGACGGCCAAAAACCAAGATGGAGACGGTCAAAAACCAAGATGGAGATGGTCAAAAACCAAGATGGAGACGGACAAAAACCAAGATGGAGACGGACAAAAACCAAGATGGCGACGGTCAACAACCAAGATGGAGATGGACAAAAACCAAGATGGAGACGGACAAAAACCAAGATGGAGATGGTCAAAAACCAAGATGGAGACGGACAAAAACCAAGATGGAGACGGACAAAAACCAAGATGGAGACGGTCAAAAACCAAGATGGAGACGGCCAAAAACCAAGATGGAGACGGTCAAAAACCAAGATGGAGATGGTCAAAAACCAAGATGGCGACGGTCATAAAACCAAGATGGAGATGGTCAAAAAAAACAAAAATAAAATAAGTAGCAAATTAACATAATATTGTATTATATAGTATGGGATGTGAGATATAAGGTAATAGTTAGTAATGTAATGTAACACATTAGTACAGCAATAAAACAGAATATGACCGAGTATCAAAAAACTGTTTAATACAATAAAATCAAGTGTTGTATGATGTAAATATAGTATAATATATAACGCTTACACCAACATATCAACAATCATAAACATGCAGAGTTACTCAGAATCCCAGTTAGAGCTCCTCGTGTCCAGAAAGAACCACGGTCCCTGAACGCCCCGCGACGACGCCACAGAGCTTCGACTTGTTTTAAAGCAAATCGTGAATTTATTGGAGTCTCAGTTTTAATGATGTCACTTCTCATTCATGTGGAAGTGGATGAAAGCGTCCTCTGAGGCTCCGTCGCCAGGCAGCCACCACCATGGCCATTAGTGTCCATTCATTAGAAACGCCAGCCCAGCGCTCCCAGCTGAGTCACTGCTGAGTAAGCGTTTAATTCATGAAGTTCCAGGCTTTTCAACAATACATTGAATAAATGAGAACTTTGTGTGATGTGACGACCCCTCCCTTCCACCATGGGTCTGTGTCCTGTTTTCTCCTCAGTTGTCTTCCAGGATGTTTATCGGCCACTGATGGGCGACACCTGAGCTTTGGGTTGGTCCCAGCTAAAGGCTGCCCCTCTTCTTTGGCTGTATGCCTCTCCTCCCTGCCTCCTGTTTATATATTTATAAATAATGATCATAATAATAATTAACTTTATTTATCGTTTTTCTTTAAGTTACAAAGTAATTTACAGAAGAAAAAAAACAATTGATAGTATAAATATAATTTATTAATTAATAAACAAAAATGACAATAAAAAAATTATAAACTTTATTTATATAGCACTAATCAAACTCATATATATAATATTTGAAATATTTAAAAACAATTTATAAAACCATTTGATTTAAAAGCTCCTTTTTTAAATGTCTTCACTTTGTGGGCTACTGTTGTCTCTAGAGCCTCTTTACTGTTAACATCATCATCATCATCATCATCATCATCATCATCCTGCAGCTTTTAAAATGTGGCTTCATGGTCACATCTCAGCGCAGCAATCACTGAATGTATGAAGTCAACAAACAACGAGGCTTTCAAGTGCAGTTCACTTCCCCCTCGGGATTATTTTTTGTTCTACTTCAGTACATTTAGATTCTGGAATCTGCAGAAGTAAAAAATACAGCAGAGCGAGTGTCTTCGCCCACACACACACACACACACACACACACACAGATGCCCTACAGACAGCACAGAGTTTCCACTCCGTCTGCTCAGACTCTTCATGCACTCTAATGGTAATGATTACATCATGGTGTGTTTTTCATATTATTACTCAGGATGTGTTTGATCCAATAGTTTAGAGCTAATAATCAGCCGTCAGTGAGGGAACAGGAGGAGAACACTCCCTCTGCTGGTCCGTCACTGTGCTGCACTTTAATAACTTTAAACACTTTCAAGTGCTGATGGATCAGATGCGACAGCGTTCAGATATAAGTGCATGTCCTCTATTGAACAGCCTCTCTGTGACTCTTTGATCCATATATTCAAATCAAAATGATTTATTACTGCGTATACAGTAAATTAATTCACAAATATAACTGATGTAGATAACTTGATAGTTTGAATTTAAATATAAAGCTTAATGAATAAATAAAGGAAATAAAATCAAAGCAGTATTGAACGAAAGCTTTTATATTAACAGTTAACAGTTTAAAACATTAGAAAAGAAACCAGGAGGAAGTTTTTTTTGTGATCAAAATGTAGTTTTTTAAATTTATTTGGTTTTTACTTTACTTACCAAGTAACTTCACTGTGTCCTTCACACTTATATTGCATTTTATTTATTAGGGTTATTGTTATTTTGGAACCATTTTTTGCTGTATATATATAGATATATATATATCTATATATATATATATTATAATATATTTTGTACAGCCCAATATCACAAATTTGCCTCAGAGGCTTTACAATCTGTACACATGTGACATCCTCTGTCCCGGGACCCTCACATCGGAACAGGAAGAACGCCCCAAAAAACCCCTTTAACTGGGAGATAATGATAATCCATCCATCCATCCATTTTCCTCCGCTTATCCGGGGTCGGGTCGCGGTGGCAACAGGCCAAGCAGGCAGACCCAGACTTCCCTCTCACCGGCAACATGTTCTTTAATAATGATAATGTTTAATAATAATGTTTATTGTTTCATATGCGGAGTGATTTCACTTATTTTCCATCTTAATATTTCCTTGTTTTTATTTAAGAATAAATATTTCATGTCAGATGTTTTTGCATCTCACTAAGCTGCAGTGCACCTCCACGTCTCTTCAAAGAGTAATTCATGTATATATGTTGTACTCCCTCTCATTTGTTTTGTTTATTCGTCTGGTCCTCACAGAAGGAGAGTGACCAGCAGATAAGGGTCCAGGTGGACGGCAGCCTGACCACCTTCACCCAGACGGGCCTGGCAGCCGGTCAGGAATACACCGTCGGCGTCACCGGAGACATCGACGGCAGGAAGGGAGCCGAGAGTTCCACTGAATTCATGACCCGTGAGCTGTCCTTATTTATTCCTCCTTCCTATAAATGAAAAATGTATTGAGACTATTGAGGCCATGTTTCATGGTGCATAACTCACCTCACACGGCGGCCATTTTGCTACGTCATGCTGAGGTCAGGAGGAATCCCTCGAGTACAGTCTGGGAAACTAGTCGGTCTGTATATCTATGTTGAAGTGGTCCTAACATTTGACTTGTGTAAGCATAGTGTTCAAACATCGAACCATGGGACAATAAGTCTGTAAAGATCCAACAAAAGAAATACAGCAACTGGATTGGAGGTTGCATCCACAATGTTGAAGGAAAGTCCGCCGACACGTTGCTATTTGACATTAGCTGAGTTATGTTGGCAAGAAGATAACGTAATAGTGGCTAAGTTATAAGGAATCAATGCCTGACATCAGATGAAAACGGCTGCCGTGTTCTAGAGCTTCAATACAAGAATATTGCTGTAAATATCTGCGTTGTGAAAAGCCACATTCATCAAATATGGCAGATGCTGAAATAATGAATACATTGCAGTTGACAGTTATGCATACAAATGTTTAAAAGCACAGTTTCTAGTAAGATAACGGTGCTTCTGACTAGCCCATTGGCCGACGTACACAGCTTAAATCGCCCAAACTGTCAGAGTTTAAACATTTCCATCTCGCTGCCTTTCCTGTGAAAGATGTTGTCTGTGGCAGCTGCAGGGCGGCTGTGAACGGCACGTTTTGGAGGTTTGAACTGTGAGTTCTGGAGAGTTAAGAGGAGGTGCTAAATCTGCAGAGTAAATTTAATTTAAGTTTATCTACTTTCCACCATGGAGTCACTCCCACAGCTACATGTTACCTGGCAGAATGGAGGATGTAAAAACTGTTCTTCGTCTTCGTCTTCAGTCACCCCCGGTCCCTCCAACCTCCGAGTCGTCAAGACGACATCCACGTCTGCGGTGGTCCAATGGGAGCAGTCGCAGGGTGAGATCGACAGGTACCGCTTGACCGTCACGCCCAACGACGGAGCGGGGAAGAGTCAGGAGATGACGGTCCCGGCTGGACAAGACTCCGCCCACATCCGGCTGCTGGAGGCGGGGCGTTTGTACGACGTCGAAATGGTGGCGGAGAAGGGAACGAGTCGGAGCAAACCAGCAACCAATCAGGTTACACCAGGTGAGTAGGAACAATGTTCCTCTCAACTATTGACATCGATGAACAATCTTATATTAGCTCAAAAGATGTCACAATAGTTTTCAAAATTCAAAACAGTGTTGTTTGATTTAAGAAAACTCCTCTTTTCTTTTGGGAAAGTTTCCACTACTACTCCTTGAAAACTCGAGCATCAAATGTGGATTAATCCGCCGCTGAAAATAGTCCCCAACAAATGCACTATTTCCTTCTATTTGTTTGATAAAATACTACGGTTACCAGCTGTTTAAGAAAATTATATTTGCGTTTTTCAAGTTCTACGTCTTCAGTAGGAACAAATGGGCTTGGAGCTGAGAGCCACATGACAGGAAGTCAGAAAGTATTACGAGACGGACTAACACATTGTTGGTTTTGGTCTTTTTAATGTGATTTGTAGGAAATCTAGAATAACAACAGACTCATCCTTTACGTTTTAAGCTTGGTCCAATGTCATTTCGAGATTGAAAAGAAATCTCCAAAACAAGCAACAATCATGTCCATGCTTAACATTAATCATATTTCAATTTTCTCCTTGCAGGTTCGACATGGATCCTACTGCCATGAGTTGTTTGTTTTCTTTTGCAAAATAACTGACAAACTACTGTTAATCAGGTTTCCTGAAAAGTATCGTAATGAATATTAAAACTGCTTTTCTTCCTTTACTAGATGTGAGCTCTTCTGGATTATTAACAGCAGTAGTGTATGACGACCTTAAAGTTGAATCCAAATGCTTACTCCTTTCACATCTTTAGGGAAGACTTTTCCAAGGGTTACCACAGCAGCTTTGACGCTAGCACCTGGACAAGATGTTGGCGACGGACACCAAGAGTTTAACCCCTCGGCTGAGGTTCACGTCTTTGACCAACAGGGGAGGAGGGAGGAAGTGAAAGTCGGAGGTATAGCTGGCCCTAACAAAGACTCCACAACCTCTGTGATTGCAAGAACTAAACCTCTGGTCAGCAAAAAGATGGGAATAAATGGCACCATGGCCAAAGTCACAGAAAGGTCTGCATTGTACAGGAAGCCAAATGTCTCAGGCCCTTTCCGTTTAAACACAACCAGAGTCGTATCTGGATGGAGACAGTTTGGCCCAGGCTCTTTGAAAAAGCCCCCGGTGGGGCAGAAGAAGAAGGCACCAATTGTACCCAAAAAACCTAAACCAGGTGTCCCCACTATCAGAGACAGGACAATAGCTTTGTCTATGAGAGGCCCGGATGTGGAGGCATCAAGCACCAAGAGGAGGGTTGACAAGAATCCAGCTATAACGTCTGGGACCGATTCAGATACAAACAGACAAAGTAGCTCCGAGGAACCAACCGTTGATGTCGGCTCCAAAGAACAACCAGATGTTGGCAAGACAGGCCAGGGAAACGACACTGCTCCAGTGTCTTCAGAGCCAACTGGGACTGTTCGAAGCCAAGAGAAGAAATGTATGAACAAAGTCAAAGTGACACACATTAGATTACCCCATCGGGGCAGAGGCAGTGGGTATAGAGGTGATGGAACTGCGCTGGTAGGAAAGACACCGGGTTCAGATCAAGGTTCCTCTGAAACAGATGACTTGAGACCCTCGTCTGCAGAGACGGACCGCGACAATTCAACAGATCCTTTACTCAAACTCCTGACGGACACTTTTGACAGTTTGAATATCACATCTTTTTCTGTTCACCTGTCCAAACCATCAAATCTCTCTGTTAATGCAGAAACAGCGAGCAAGCAGATTTTAAGGGGATTGAGGCCATTGTCGCCATCCTTGTCCTGGTCATTGCCTTCATCAACTTCACATTCATCATCATCAGCACGGTCATCGTCCTCATCCTCTTTATCATCACATTCACTTGGTCCATCTTCATCAGCAGCAGCTTCATCACCACCACATTCATCATCGCATTCTTTAGGTGAACCGTCATCATCATTGCCATCATCCCCATCCTCTTTAGCACCACCTTCACATGCTCCATCTTCACCAACAGCAGCGCCATCATCCTCACTAACACTGTTAATGTCATCCCCCTCATCCACACCGTCACCACCATCATCATCACTACCATCATTACCAAGATCAACTCCATCATCATCCCTTTCCAACTCAGATAAATCAGGTTCAGTTGGAAGTAAAGAACCACATGTTGATAACCGCAAAAGTACGACTGACGTTACATCACCTGAAGACAGAAAACTACCGCCCTCAAGACCTATTTTCCAACGCACACCTGCAAAACATGGATACGTACGTCGTCTGCGCCCAAACTTTGCATCGTTTCAGAACAGAACCCGTCTAAATTCAAGAGTTCCTCACCATTTGACTCCTCGTTTGAACCTCGTCCCGAAAGGAGAGACAGAGACCAGGCATACATCCACGAGTGAATTATCGTTTTCACCATCTTCATCTGCCTCAGAGGACTCTTTAGTTGAGGTAAATTCACCAATAAGGGGTACGAGTGGAGACAAAGATCGGGCAACTACAACTGCATCCTCTGGAGTTGAACAAAACCAGGAAAAGATGCCAACTGGAAGAGGACGAATCCCAGTTCACCGTCTTCCTCCAAATGGAGGATACCTGCTGCGTCGTCCAAACTTTGGAGCTCTTCAGAACCGGACTCATCCAAATTTGAGGCTGCTTCCTCCGCCCTCTCGACCTTTAAATCCTGCATCAGATACAAGGTTAGACCAGGTATCTTCCACTGAATTGCCAGCCACTTCTTCTTCTCCTGTCTCCAAAGAATCCTATGGAACTGAAGATACAGGGCCAAAAGTAGGCAAAAATGTAGACAGAGTTGGGACAAGATTGTCCTCGACAATCATGTCCACTGAGTTCAATCAGACCATCAGAGGAAGTGGAGTGCCTTCCTCTCATCGCCCCACTAACAAAGGTGGTTACATCCGTCAGCCGCAACTGTATGGTGGACGTTTCCAAAACAAAACCCGCACAAACCTGAGACCACCTCAACACCCACATAAGGGGCCCATGAGGAAGTTTTTCCCAAACAAAAGGCTAAATGGAGGCAATACTGTTGGAGGTCAAATTATGCAATTAGAAAAGGATAATACCCCTGAAAACCAATCAGGAGGGCAGGATGCCACCATGCCTACCCAAGGAGTCCAAATTAGACAATCAGGAGAACAAGACACTGCAGAAGTAATTCCACATTCCCAAATGGATGGCCATGATGCAACCATCAGACCACAGATTAATGAATTAGAAGGGTGGGACAATGCTCCGATCCAAACCCCTAAATCTGGAGGAGAAACAACTAGCACCCCAGATTCAAACTCTGACACCCATAAAGAGAAAGTCAATGCTGGCAAAAACACTGGAGCTATAAGTCGAGGTGGACTTAATGTCAAACAAACTTCCTCCGATTCAAGACATGAAGCCCCGAGACCAGTTCCACTTCCAAAGCGCCAACCACCATCAAGAGGTACAACCGCACAGCATCACGCCCAGATAAGACGCTACAACAGTGGGAGTAAACGGAGAGTGGAAACAAAAACAAATAATACCGCAACAAATTTGTTTGACAGTAAACCCGAGCAGACAAGAAGTGTTGATTCCAAACCTACAACGGGATCAGATGGATCTTCTTCCGGAGTCACAAGGGAACCTCTGAACCACGTGGGAGTGACGAACCGGACCTCTGATGGATTTACGCTCATATGGGAGTCACCGGAAGAGAAGTTCAAAAACTTTGTGGTGACAAGCAGAGATGTTGGGAAAGATGAAGAAAAAGAGAAAGAGGGTGGCAATGAGGAGGAGGAAGCGAAGCATCATCCAACTGAAGAAACAGAATCCGAAGATGAAAATAGAGTACCTGAAAGTGTCTCTGCACGAGGTCAAAGGATCCTAAGCAGCATAAAAGCCAAACCTGTAGCAGGAAGTGACAAAACCTTCAAAAAAGTTCTTCCTGGTTCAGCTCGCTCTTTCCAGTTTGAGAATCTTCCTCCTCAGACCGAGTACACCGTGACCTTGCTTGGAAAGGGACCCGGCCTTCTGTCCAGACTACACAAGCTTGTCATCAGTACAGGTACAAGCCATTGTGACAGTGGACCATTAACTGCACAATGCGACAACATTACCGTCAATGTTGTGAAGTCCTCTACAGAAAACTTGCTCATTTCACCTCGCACCATCACCTTGAAATTAAAAAAAAAACGCTCATGCACACATCTTGTATCTTTACATGTCTTGTGCTGATTCAAACCAAAAAAATAATTGTTAACTAATTGTCAGTCGTGTTGGGTATGACTGGAAATGTTTGCTCGCCCACTAAATGCTTCCTCCATGTCCATTTCAAGAGCTTAAGTGCTGTGGTGCTCTTGAAAACTGTAAGCTCACGATTTACAGGTTCACCCCATGTCTTATTTCATCACTAGTTTGGTGACGACGTAACCTCTTTTGTTTGTTTTCAGTGGATCTTCTTCGAAATTTCAATCAAGTGATTGTGTTTTGTGTTAATAATGCTCTGTTTGTGCACTCATTCATCAGCTTTTAATGAACATTCATGAATTAGCAGTCATACATTATAATAACAACACTCTCTCAACCATAAACTCGGTTATTTGATGTCAAACCTCAGATGTGCATTGACAGTTTGTCACATTGTTAGCCAGCCAAGTTGTGCACTAGATAGCTTGTAGATGCAGGTTAGCAACATTAGCATGATTTTCCCTTAGCATGTTGGCTAACTTTGTTAGCTTGCAAACAGTTTGTTCATCATTTGATTGATTCTAAGTTCTATACTTGAGCACTAAATACTTCTTCAAGGAAATTAAACCTCTACTAAGTTTCCATCCAAATATTGAGCAGATGTTATGCAAATAAGCAACAATTTAAATAAAAACAAGAAGCAAACTTCACCATGTTTTTTGAGTTACCTAAACTTCACCAAACATAAACTATACTTTGTGTTGGAATGTAACAAAGTACATTTGCACAAGTGCTGTGCTTGAGTACGAATTTGAGGTACTAGTACTTTACTTTACTATTTTCTGAAAAATTGTACTTTTTACTTTGCAGCAAATATTTACCAGCTTTAGTTACTTTATAAATTAAGAGTTCTTCATACAAAACACATGAACTTGTAAAATATAACAATATTTAATATAATATTTTGATGTAGATTTAACTACTGAACAGTATATTTAAGTAAAACTGAAACAATTAGTGGGTTGACAGAAAATTAAGTAGCAACTATTTTGATAATCTTTAAACTGAAATGTTTAGCAAAAACTTTTACTTTACTTTTTATACTACAAGAACATTTTCCTGATAATACTTGCATACTATCCTGAAGTAACATTGCATGGCTTTACTTGTAATGCTATTAGTACTTTTGAAAGGAAAGGATTGGTTTAAGTTATATTAAAGAATGTTAATACTTCACCACCTACTATACTTTATTTGCAACCCACACATCTTTTTAAAATGTTGGCAGGAAACACACAAACAGCTACAAGCCACATTAATAACTGCCTTCAAGGACTGCAGACTGGCAGCACACTGAGAACTATATCCTCTTTAGTGAGGCAGCTTTTATTTTACCTGAGTTGACATCAAACGAGAGTTCAACAGTAACAACATAACAACACAATTCATTCACTGCTGCTCTGGTTTTCTCTCATTCAGGGTAAGCTAACAGCCAGCTTCATTGACACCCCTTCACCTCTCACCCCAACCAGGGTAAGACCACGGCTGGTCTCTGTACGTTTGGTCTGTCTTCACCTCTCAGATCCACGTTTCAAACAAATACTTCACCCACAAGATGACCATTTGTATATCAGCTACTCACCTCGTGTTACCTTGAATTCTTAAAGAAAACCGTTTTTCTGTCATGCCTCCACGGTGAAAACTGAGGCTTCTTGATGAATTGACCTACGTTATCATGGAGCCCACACTGTCACTAACTGCACTCCCTGGAAAAATGTCAACGTTTTGGAAAAACAATAAATGGATTTCAGAGAGAAGCAGACAGAAGGTTTTACAATATGTGTTTGAAGGATTTATTGTGATTGATCGTGAAATACTTAGTTATGTTTGGGAAAAGATCGGAAAATACTTAGTTAAGTTTGGGAAAAGATCATAAAATACTTAACTAAGTTTGGGAAAAGATCGTGAAATACTTAGTTAAGTTTGGGAAAAGATCGGAAAATACTTACTTAGGTTTGGGAAAAGATCGTGAAATACTTAGTTAAGTTTACAAACTCTCGCGACTCGTGCAGAATAATCCAAGACTCATTAATCCAGTCATATGTTCACTACTTCAAAAACACGTTCATCTTTGGTAAAACCTTAACATTTAAAACACGTAGTGATATAGTTCTGATATAGTTCTGCTTTTGTTAAACGTGGCCTCCATTTACTTCAAATCATCAAGACTTTTCTCAGTGTTTTGAGTCTTCGTTCACCGTGGCGGTGTGAGAGAAACAGGGTGGGTTACTGATACACAAATAATAATCTTGTGAGTGAAATATTCTTTTAATCCCATGAGTTTACAAGAAAAGTAAAAATAAATGAAAGAACATATCAAAGTTTTAGAATTTCACAGGTCTGGGTGTTACCAAAAAGAGTCTTGTTCTTATTTTTAATAATACGATTGTGTAATATAATAAGATATTAAATGTGATACCCAGCACTTCTTAGTTGTTTTTACCTAAAGAATAATCCACACTATAGCAAGATTCAAAATCTGTCCCCGAAATTACTTCCCGGCGCTTTGAATCCTCTGACTGTGTCGGATTAATATCTGAATGTGTTTGTTTTCATTCATCTTCTCTCCCTTTGTGTTGACATGCTTCACTCCGGCCACGCTTTTATTTACAGGTTGTGAGTGACCAGCTAACTATTACATCTCACCATTCTTTCCTTCGCTGCTATCCAGGATCCATCATCTTGCTTTTAATTGTTGTATTACTTCGTGTCTGTATATGATTTGTATACTGTATATATGTTTGCACTGTACATATATACACTCAGACTCACCAGAGCACTAATAGCAAACGTGTGGATGAATAAAATAATGCTGAACAGACTGTTTTCACTCTGTTAGTGGCCACTTTTGTCGTCTTTTCTTGAAACCTTCACTTCTTTACTTCACCTGATGTTTCTTCTTCCTATTTCATAAGTTCTCCTTCATGTTTCCAGCTTTTCTTTTACTTCTTCTTCACTTCCCACATCTCCTTCCCGTGCTTTCATCCACCTCTCTCATGGTATTCTTCGTATCCGTTCAGGCCCGGAGCCTCCGACCGACATCGTCTTCAGTGAGGTGTCGGAAAACTCTCTGACGGTGTCGTGGACCAAACCCAAGACGCCCATCAGTGGTTTCAAAGTCACCTACACCCACACAGAGGAGGGTGAGAACTGACATTCATGTTTTATTTGATTTATTTAACAATGATATGTAACAAGTCTCTGTTATTTTCTCTTTCAGGACACCTCTGAGTTTATTATGGCTTTTACTTTTCTTGGCTACTTACCAAAGAGTCAGAGATGTAATGTTCAAATCATATATAATCCGATTTTTATATATATATTACAGTAATAGTACAGTACTTTATATTGTTTGAAGCAGAACCTTCAGTATTTGGATCAATGTGGAAGAATAACATTGTTTTTCATGCGCTGATTGATTTAGATATTCTACTCTGGGGCCAGAACACAGCCGAGCTCGCCGGCGTTCAGCCACAATTGATTAGAGTATCAGTGAATCTGCAATGTCCCGCACGTTTCAGCTTCCTTTGTGTCTGCAGGTGAGCCGGTGTCCGTGTCCCTGGACTCGGACGACTCCACCCTCGGCCTATCGAAGCTCTCACCTGGTTCTTCTTACGAGGTCAGCATCATCTCCGTCCTCGGACTGGACGAGAGCGATCCGATGAAAGACTTCGTCACGACACGTGAGTCCTGTTTTATTGTGTCTTAGCGGAGCTGCTCTTGGATGCAATGAGAATGTAACAAATGTTCAAATATGAAGCATCCTGTGTTTTCTAAGTGAGATGTCTTTACTTTAAAAACGCCCCTGCATTACTGCATCATGAGGTGTTGTTTTTCAGCAGTTATGAGAGTTTCCTTTTTTCTTTTTTCTATAAGATTCACTTTAAGAAAGTCAAGAGTTAAAATTTTCGTATTTCTATTTGTATCGCTAATTTACTTCAGCGGTATGAACCTAAAATCAGCACATTAACAGTGATTTAATTGCAATAAACAGATAAAACTACATAATGATGCTGATTTGTAGAAAATATGTGAATTCATGCTTCGTCAGGTCTGTAAGCAAGACGACAAGCAAACAACTTTTAAATTGTTTGTTTTCTGAATGGAGTTTGGATCCATCAGTGCTAGGCTAAGCTAACATTGAACGTAATCTAGGGATGAATTCGGCAGAGATCTTATTGTTTATACACGTATATTTATACACATAGTTTGAGTCTGGTCTCAAAAATACCACAAATATGTGACCACATACAATACTCTTCTCTCTGCTTTCTTTGTTTGTCTGTTTTTTTTGCCTTTTTTTGTGAATTCAAACAACGTGTCGTCATTCAGTAATTGTTTTATTTCTGGTGCAGATGAATAAAGATGATTCTCACCATCTTTATGTCTCTTTTAGTCCCCGACCCGCCGACAGACCTCCGGGCCTTAAACGTCACGGACACCAGCGCCTTGTTGTTGTGGCGTCCAGCGATGGCCGCCGTTGATAAGTACGCCATCGTTTACGGCGCCGGGACCGGTGAGTGATGTCATCCGCCCATCAAACACCCAAGAACCAGAACTTTATGTTTCTGCATCAGAATAGCTTCATTTCACAGTAATGTCTCATTTATTAATGTTGATGCATTAATGTGTTCATCACTGTAATGTTGCAGCTCGTACATGTAGAGCTCTTTTTCATATATATAGTTTATAGATTAATACAGATTCATCGATACAATACATCATCGTTTATTTCTTGATTATATTTTGTATTATTAATTTGAACCTGGAAAGTGACTAAAGTTATATAAACAATATTTACCGAGATTAAATTACAGATTTCTCTGGCGTTAAAAATAGTTTTTGGGATTATATAAATAAACAACAGATTATATATTATAGGTCTCTTAAGTTTTAGACATCTTGATGTGTAAAAGTTACATATTATACCTTTAATTACAGCAGAGAACCATAATAATGAAACTAATAATAATAATAATAATAATAATAAAATGTCTATGATTGATTGTTTCTGTGTGTTCAGACTCAGAGTTGAGGATCACCGTCTCTGGAAACGCAGCGGAGCAGCAGCTGAGCGGTCTGGAGGGATCCACCACGTACACAGTCACCATCAGCAGCCTGCTGGGCAGCTCGCAGAGCCCAGAGGCCTCCAGCAGCTTCACCACCACCGGAGGTCCACACACACACACTCACACACACTCACACACACACACACACACACACTCACACACACACACACACACACACACACACACACACACACACACACAC